CAGACATACTTAGTACGAGAGTTGAAATCGAGCCATTAAGGAGTTCCAGATTAGTCCCACAATGTAAAAGATGCCAGGCTTACGGACACACGTGGAAATACTGTAAAAAAGAGCCAAGATGTGTAAAATGTATTGGTAAACACCTTACTAAAGATTGCCAAAAACCACCAGAAGATAAACCAAAATGTATTCATTGTGGAGAAAACCATCCTGCAAACTACCGCGGATGTTATGTAGCTAAAAAATTACAAACAATAAGAAACGAGAGAACAAACAAAAACAATGTTATAAAAGCACCACATAGAGTTATTGAAAGCAAAAAACTAAAAACGGCAGAGGTCAGTGAAAATAGAAGTTACAGCGATGTAACAAAGAATGCAAGGAGACATGCATCATCACAACAAGAAAAATAAACTGATATTACATTAAAAATGATATTGGAAAAGCTCACCAAGATTGAAGACAAAATAACTCAAATCGATATCAGAGTTACCCGACTAGAGCATAGCGCTAAAGGAGCTATTCCGAAAATCATAAATGGCTACTAAAAACCTCCGAATAATCGCGTGGAACGCAAATGGACTGTTACAACATCAGACCGAGTTACAAGCAGTACTAGATATTGAGAAAATTGATCTGTGTCTCGTTTCTGAAACACACTTCACTAAACAGTCATATGTTAAATTTTGGGGGTATAGAGTATATTCTACTGTACACCCAGATAATGCAGCTAAAGGAGGAAGCGCTATTATAATTAAAGATAACATCTTGCATCATGAGGAATTAAAATATGCAACTGAGCACATACAAGCTACAACAGTCTGTGTGAAGATGAAAACACATACCTTTAATATAAGTTCAATATATTGTCCTCCTAGACACTCCATTAAAAGAGAGCAGTATAAAGAGTTTATGAACACTTTAGGAAAAAGATACATCATCGGTGGCGACTTTAATGCAAAAATACCCACTGAGGCTCTAGGCTAACTACAACTAAAGGAAAAGAACTATTGTCAGCTATTAAGGAACAAAAGGGTAAAGTAATCTCTACTGGTAGACCAACATACTGGCCTACCGATAGGAACAAAATTCCAGACCTGATAGATTTCTTTATTTACAAAAATATCTCAGTTAACTATCTGGATATCAATGACGGCTGGGACATGAACTCTAATCACTCACCGATAAGTCTAACTATGAGTGATACAGTGATTAAAAAAGAGTTCAATCCAATATTGACTAATAAAAAAACTGACTGGGAGAGCTTCAAAATAAACCTTGAACACAAAATTAATCTTGCTGTTCCATTAAGAAACACGAGGCAACTTGATGACGAATTAGAAGTTTTTATAAAAAATATCCAACAGTCAGCTTGGGAAAATACTCCCACAAAAACTTCTAGAACAAAAGGGAACAACTATCCAAAAGAAATCAGAGAACTCATAGTAGAAAAAAGGAAGTTAAGAAAAAAATGGCAGCAATACAGAGCTCCACGAGACAAAACTAGTCTAAATAATGCTACACAAAAACTAAAAAGGGAGATACAGAATATAAAAAATTCAACAACTAATTATTTTTTAAGTAATTTAACAGCTGACCAGAACACAGATTATTCTTTATGGAAGGCAACAAAAAGATTGAAGAGACCAATTATTCACTCCCCTCCTATCAAGTTGGAAAACGGCAACTGGGCTAGAAGTAACGAACAGAAAGCAGAACGATTTGCAGATCATTTAGAAAGCACGTTCAAACCCAACGACAATGATAGTGAAGAACTGAGATGGGAAGAACCATTCCAAACTGATGAAAGAATAACATTGACATCACTTAGAGAAGTATCAACAGAGATAAAAGAGAATATAAATCCTAAGAAAGCTCCAGGATATAATCTCATAACAGGAGAATTATTAAAAAATCTACCAAGAAAAGCGATAGTTAAGCTGACACACCTAATAATTGCTGCTTTTAGATTGAGATATGTTCCCAGACTGTGGAAAGTAGCCGAAGTAATTATGATCGCCAAACCAGGTAAATCTCCTAATGAAGTGACATCCTATCGACCAATATCCCTCCTTCCGGTGATGTCAAAACTATTTGAAAAACTTCTATTAAAAAGATTAAAACCAATAATAGAAAGAAAAAATCTTATACCAAATCATCAACTTGGTTGCAGAAATCAACATTCCACTATCGATCAAGTTCACAGAATAACGAATATAATAGAAAAAACATTAGAAGAAAATAAAGTCTGCTCTACAATCTTCTTGGATGTAGCACAGGCGTTTGATAAAGTCTGGCATGACGGTTTAAACTATAAACTAAGAAGGTTCATGCCTAAACAGTATTCAGAAATCTTGAAATCATACATTGCGAATAGATATTTCAGAGTAAAACAAGAAGAAGTGTACACCGACTTAAGGGAGATCAAAGCTGGCGAGCCACAAGGAAGTGTCTTAGGTCCAGTCCTGTACCTATTGTATACGTGTGACATTCCAGAGCTAGAACAAAATACTATTGCCACCTTCGCTGACGATACAGCCATACTAGCGATAGGAGACACTAGTGAAGAAGCGACTGATAAATTGCAACTATCAGTAAATAAAATACATAACTGGACCAGAAAATGGCGAATAAAATTAAATGAGACTAAATCTGCACACATTAACTTTACAAATAAAAAAATAGAAAATTTCCCAGTTAGAATAAATGATACCCGAATTCCTTATGCAACATCAGCAAAATACTTGGGCATCACCCTAGACGCGAAGCTGCGCTGGAAAGTCCATGTCAAAAAGAAAAGAGGGGAGCTTGATATTAGATATAAGAAATTGTATTGGCTGATTGGAAAAAATTCAACATTGTCAATTCATAATAAATTATCCATCTACAAGCAAGTACTGAGGCCAGTATGGGTATATGGGTGCCAACTCTGGGGCTGTACCAAAGCTAGTAATCTACTTATTATCCAGAGATTTCAAAATAAAGTACTGAGAAACATTGTTGATGCTCCTTGGTATATCCATAACAGCAACCTCCACCAGGACCTGGTTATGGAAACTGTGATCGAAATAATCAAGAGAACAGCAGCAAGTCACGAGCAGAGGCTGCATAGTCATGTGAATGTCGAGGCAATCCAGCTTCTTGAAAACACTGAACTAAAGAGAAGACTCATAAGGACAAAACCATTTGAGCTAGTGTAAATGTGTAACAGTTTAGTGTAAAATGCAGAGTATAGTGCTGTGAAGTTATTGCATGCTAGTTGTAGTGCATTAGTTAATAGATCAAATAAGAGTAAGCCATAGGGTAAGCCCTTAGATTTAAGTATTTGCTGTTATTATGTTAGGTCAGAAAATAACTGATAATTGGTCATTTGTGACCAGATAGCAGTATACAAACACCGCGCGCAGGTGTTTGTATACTGCTATCTGGTCACAAATGAAAAAAAAGCATAATATGTATATTATCTGGTTTACACTCTGCTTCAAGTTGATATTTGATCCTTTGCATTGGTCACAGGATGAGGATAAAGAAGTAAATATTATAAGAGAAAGCATAAGCCGAAATAGATTTATATTTATAATTTATAATAGTGAAGAAACCGCTACATCAGTGTCACTTAGTACATGGACGTCTATCTAATAAGAGCGATAAGCCGCTCAATATACAAAGAAAAATTTGACAATATATGGTTCTCTTTTTAAAGACGAATCAAATGCTAAGATAATTTTTTCTGACGGATATTCTCAAGTTAACGTTGATGTCATGTAATCGAATTAACTATTTTACAATAAAGTCGTCCCAGGAACGCAAATCAGCAATAAAATCATTATACATTTTAAAGTCGTCTACTTTAAAATGTATAAATGTCTGAATTGTCAATATAAATGAGTCAGATAAAATTAAATTATTAGAATAATTTTTCACCAAGTAATAAAAAACAAAATTTGTGTAATTTATTAATGTTTGTATTTTGATAACGATTTTCTAAGTGTAAATGGAAACTTCAATAAACTAAATTTAAATTTCAATTCTATTTAATATTAATTATTCTATTCACGTTTATCGATCAGTTTTAGCCACAGGGAATGTAGCAGCTTTGATGTATCCCATCCGTAAATGGCTGATAAATATCTGAATATAACATGGTTCGGCTGTTAGTTTATGTAGCACAGACAACAAAATGTTAAATATAATCCGGAAATAAACCTATCCTATTTTCACAATGTTAGAGGTTTGGGATTTTTACAATGGATCATAATGGCCGACCGGACACAGTGGTCACTTTCATTTGGTCACTTCACAAAATAAATTTCATGTGTTTACCTTATACTGCCATTATACAGTGCTAAGCGCAAAGGTCGTATCGACATTTTTTGGGAAAATTGAGTTATTATAGCCAGTCGATTCTATGTAATTTACTGTACTTATTGCTAAGTTGGTATCTGCTATTTTTATCTAATTTACTAAGGCTAATTGGTCGTTAAAGGTAAATAGTAAGCAGTTGAAGTGGTATCTGCGGTAGTTACCACTTTTTTCCTTAGCATAATACAGATATAACATTTACATTTTAGTATTACAGTAGTTACTACCTTTTTGCTCTAGTATGTTTGTATCCTTACATAACCTCAAAAGAGTACAAACAGGTGATTAGTTTGTTGTCAGTTTGATATTTACTCAATTTATTTTTAATTAATGATTATAATAGTGTCATTTTACGATAATTATTTTTTAGAAATAATACTAGCTGACCTGGCAAACGCTGTTTTGCCTTATAAATTATTTCTAGTTTCTAGATAAATTCTAGTGTAGACAAAAAGTTCCTTACTTATTATAAGTGTGTAAGTATGTGGTATATGCGTGAAATGGGCGAGAAGCGCTATAAACGATAAGGGAATATAAAAATAACAAACGCCAAACAATATTATTTTCAAGTTATTATAGTTTATTACTTATAATTACATATCACATATTATTTACGATAGTAACCCTAACAAACAAAATCAATCTCTTAATGCTATAGCGTGATCAATATTTTTTGTTAGCCCATCTTTATTGAGCACAAACAAACTGGACGGTTTACCCACTCGAGAGCATGCTACGTACAATTGCCTGTGTGAAAAACATGGTGTACTCAAATCTAAGCCACAAATAGACATCGTTTGGCCTTGGGATTTATTGATTGTCATTGCAAATGTCCATCTAATCGGAAACTGAATTCGTTTGAATTGAATTGGCACATCTGTAGGTATGATAGAAATCTGTGGTATTAATATATTTTCACCTTTGAACTTTCCATTTAAAATGCTGGCTTCGATAACGTTTTTCATCAATTTTGGAATGACTAACCGCGTACCGTTGCACAGCCGTGGCGGGTTTAAATTACGAAGCAAGATAAATGGAGATCCAGCTTTCAATTGTAAATTATGCGGTGACATGCCTGGCAAATCCAGTGAGTTAAAAAATTCTGTGGGAATATTGACAGCTTCGCTGGCATCGCAAACTGTATCAATAGATTTGTATGATACCAAGTTCCCTGGCAACAACTGTTGTTTCTTCAAATTGAAATTGTTGTCGTCTGGATATATAATACGTTAGAATCTGGATCCGTGACGATAAGTAAACCAGTCAATGGTTCAGGTGGTGTTTCAATTTCAGGTAGTTGCACTTTTCCTGACGCGCAACACATCCCAGGTGGCTCATTTTTGAATTTGAGAGCATGACAATGCGGATATTCCTTATCCATAGCACCAATTACCACTTTTGAATGAGCATAATATTCAATATCGGACTCGTACTGGAATGCTAGACGCAAAAATGAATCAGATGTAAATGTACGATGTACCTGTTGGCGTTGTTGGTCATTTGTTCTTCGTATATTAACCGTAAAACGGCGTGATTGTCGTTGTTCTAAACGTATAACTTTATTGCGCTCAGCTCGTGTATTTTCTGATTGTTCTTGACACAATTGCTGAATGCTCTCACGTGCATCAGCATTTTGTTGCTGGACTTGTTCTTCGGTTCTTTGGGATCTTTTATCTCTCATACTTCTGGACCTACTTGTATTACGGCTCAAATCAGCCCCTTTGCGTTTTCTTGGCATTGCTTAGTCTACAAAACGCATAGGTATAAATAGAATTAATGAAATTACTTAATGATGGAAAACGTTCTAATTATAATTGCGGCCAGGATTATAGCGAAAATATTAGTTTTATGAAAAAAAATTTGAAACAATAGTTGTAAAAAATTCAAATAATTATATAAAAAAAGTATACTTACAACACAAAAGCCGTTGTTGGTTGGAGCTCGTGACACGTGTTGAGTACTTTTAAGGTTATGTAAATCACTTGTTTAAATAAAACTTCATTAACTGATCTAATCGTGCCAAATACACTTAAAATTAATAATTTTATTATTATGAATAAAATAGTAATAATTAATAGTTATTATGAGAGTTACACAGAAATAGAAAATTGATAATTGTGAACGTTACTACTACACTTAATGCATAAACAATAATCATGGATGGCCGAAAACTGTGTAGGGAGTGACAGAAGTCTTGTGTGAGTGAAACAGAAGACCGGTTTCAGTTTTATAGAATAGTGTGGCATTTCACTCATCAGTAAAGGTGCGGCAAATTTGAAGAATCTAAGATAAGTAATACTAAGCGTATATTAGGATTAAACTTTAATAATAAAAATAAATGTTTATTTGTTTAAAAAACATTTTAGATTTTTAATCGAAGTACAGTTAAAAACACTATAATTGATCAGTTATCGAGCGAGATAAAAATATTATGAATCCAAAGTAGTAAAAATAAAATAAATTAACAAAAAAAACAAAAATAAAAAATTTCGTCGAAAAATTAAAAAAAAAATTAAGGGTGAACAACCTTTATCACTTAGGGGTATGAAAAATAGATAGTAACCGATTCTCAGACCTATTGAATGCGCATATAAAATTTGGTAAAGATCGGTAAAGCCGTTTCGGAGGAGTACGGTAACTAACATTGTTACAGGGAAATTTTATATATTAGATTAGACTAAAATAGCCATAAAAAATAGGGGTTGATCATAAAAAAGTAAAAGTTTAGGGTTGTATGTATTTTTAATATGCAACATTATAAAAAAAAACAAAAATAAAAAATTTCGTCGAAAAATTAAAAGAATAAAATTAAGGGTGAACGCGTTATTGAATACGCATATAAAATTTGGTAAAGATCGGTAAAGCCGTTTCGGAGGAGTACGGTAACTAACCTTGTGACAGGGAAATTTTATATATTAGATAATATCAGTGTAAGTTAGCTTTTCAAAACTGTGTTAGTTTTCAATTTATAGGAAGATGGCTTTTCCTTACACCAGAGGAAAGTTGGTAGGTGATATATGTACAATTAAAACAACTTCAGGTAAATCTATTTAATTTTTTTATACAGGGAGTTTTGTCTTCAGTGTGTCTAACGATAAGTCGTCGTAGAACACACTATTTTAAGCAAAAAAAAAAACGTTGTGTGCTCAAGCTTTCATAAAAAGCTATAAATATAATAGCCTCTTAAGGGGTCCAATTAATTTGACTTTCTTGGCACTATTTTGGGAACCAGAGGCCTTGTGGGGGGCGATCAAAAAATTATTAGAAATATTAAAATTATTTACAGATTTATATCAATAAATTGATTTGCAACTATGTTTGCATGGCAAAAAAGTCAACTTATTGGGACCATCTTAAGGGGCTGTGTATTAGTTCCCCTTAAGAGGCTGTATAAAGAGCAAAATTTATAACAATTAATACATTTTTGCAGGAGAGATGCATATTGGTTCTCCAGTAACTAAAACGGCTGTTGAAACGACGTTCTAATACAAATGAGTTTTATTTCAAAACTCTCGAAGGAACTATGAAACCAAACAACTAGATTTAAAAAAAAATCTGTTTGTCAAAGTAGCATCACTTAAATTTAGTATATTTAAATATACTAAATATATAGTCCGTCTAGAAAGTATCCGGAATTTTATATTTTTCCTAATTTTAATAGATTTCATTTTTGTAACATTATAAGACAAAAGTAAGGCATTAAGTAGGTTGTGCCGATAGTAGGTTATGGACAAAATCGCATGACAACACCATCTGTCAAATATTGTTATTTGTAAACAGACTTAAGATTTGTGAAATATTGTCGCAATTAGAAAAAAGAAAAGTAGTGGAATATTTGTACAAAAAGGGTGTCCGAAACGTTAAAAAATGAGTGCAATTGACTGAACTCGGAAAAAGTGCAGTGTATGAGACAATAAAGAGGATACAAAATGGCATAGATATGAGACATAGACCAGTTTCGGGCAGATTCGCGAAAACAATTTAAATGTATTAGTGGCTTTAGGACAACAAAATCCGCGCCTAGGGTATCGAAAATTAGCGCGAACAGATTTAAAAATCAACGAAGAATAAAAGTGTGTGCAGAAACTGTCCGCATATCACTGAAAAGCAAGGAATCCAAAAAAAATCCCTACAATGACACCTCTGTTCAAATTTCCAAATTTCCTATTAAAATAATGGTTTGGGGAGCAATATCTCAGCGTGGTGCTACATCTCTCTGTAGAGTTAATGGTACTGTTGATAGTGCGAAATATTGTGACATCCTAAATGGTTTTTTTTTCTTGAAACAGCCCATGTTTTATATCCAGAAGAGTGGCGTTTTCAGCAAGATATTGCAAGGTGCCATAATTCTGCTCATACTCAAGCTTGAATGCAAGAACATGAATTGGCAACAATTTCGTGGCCAGCAGCATCTCCAGATCTTAGCCACATTGAAAACATATGGGAACTTATGAAGATTGAAGTAGAACGAGCAGCGCTACGAAATAAAAGTTTGATTCGGTCAGTTTTACAGGCCCGGAACACCATTACCGCAAATTATTGCCTTTACCTTGTTTCGGGTGTACCTGGACGCTTGGTTAAGTGTTTAGATTTAAATGGAGGTTGTATAAGTAAAAGAGATTAATTATTTGTTGAAATTTTATATTTCAAATGATAGAAATAAATACCGTAAAATTATATTTCAGCTTTCTTTTTTCCGGATACTTTCTAGACGGACTATAGTATATGCAGTATAGTACTATATATAGTATAGTATATACTTAAATATAGAGGAGAAGGTGGTAATATGGACCCCCATTTTGATTTTTTATTGTAAAATTGATATTATTAATAAAAAACAGAGATTGTTAGCTTAGTTACGATATGGTGTTAGTTACCGAACACATTGTAATAGTTAAAGCGGTTTAAGACTTCATTTTACATTTTTTTTAAATAATTTTTTAAAAGTTGACACATTCATCAGAAAACGGGATGTGCAGTTAATATGGCCCCCATGGTGTTTGATGGACCCCCTTATTAATTTAAGGAAATATTGGCAAATTCTGAAAATTATAACTGCATTGAACAAAAAACCTTTTTATTATACATAAGTAGATAGAGTGTATATAAGTAGATACAGCATAATATGTATGTATAGGTAGATATAGTCTAGTCTACAAAATTAAAATGTCCTACATGGTAATAATGGACTAACAACGACAGAAATCGCAGACGTACTCATCCTTCTCTGCCCCTGCACATTCGTTATGTGCCCACAGTGAACACATGAGACACTGAACCCATAGTTCCCCCCGCACGCTGTTGGTGAACTTTTCATCACAAAAAATACATGATGCGTCATCTTGGTTTGGTTGAGGCTCCCCAACTGATAGATCAAAAGGTGATTCACCGGAGCAAGTGGAGAGCTGCATCCCGTCATCATCATCAACGTCGTCGTCACTGCTGTCAGCTGGACGTTTATGTTTAGGGTTGTTCTTCTTTGATTTTCCAGCGTTGGCACGTGGGGTGCAGTCAGACTTGGCTGCTTGTCCTTTAGGGCTAACTTGAGGCCCAGAACAAGACGGTATGGGGTTATCAAACGTCACAGCGCTAGTTTGAGGTCCGGGACAAGATGGTATGGGGTTAACCAACGTCAAACTTCGAGTGACACTTGTTAAAGCAGCTCTTCCAGTGCCTTTCCCATTGCCACGGCCATTGCCACGGCCACGACCACGACGACTTGCAGCAGCTTCTTTTTTTGCCAGAAAATCTTCTAGCTCTCTTTTATAAGGAGAACTGGTAATGACATTTGCGATGCAGTGTTTTCGTCCACGGTTTGATTTTTTCTTTTTTTCTGGAACGGGGTGAATGTCTTTAGGAGACACAGCGAAGGTTGTTGGTGGATGAGGATTGACTTCAACTGCAGGAGTGTCATGCAGTCGGTTATCAGTGTTCTCAGCCTGATTTTCGTTTGGTGCCTCCTCCTCCCCTGCAATGAATTCATGGTCTTGAAAAATAATTCTTTCCAGGGGGTAAATACCTGTGACCCAGAATCCATTTACAGCGTTTACTCCTGTGGTACATCGGAGGTACGCCTTTCCCAAAAAGGACGCAATATCGTAAGGCCCAACAGGTCTACTTTTATGAAGCATCCACTGTCGGATATTTTCACTGTAGTGAGTCTTTAAAGCTCCCATAAAAGTGCGGTCTAGTGGTTGCAATTTATGTGTTGTGTGGGATGGTAAGGACAATATCGTGATGTAATTTTTCCTTGCCAAATCGATCACATCAATGTTTCTTGTGTGCGAAAAGTGACCGTCAAGGATAAGTAGTATGGGCGAGGTCTCTGTTGGATTTGTTTTTTCAATAAAATGAGCTAACCAGTCTCAAAACAGATTTGATTGAACCCACCCAGACGGGTGAGCTCTTCCAATTGACCCAGAAGGAGCTCCTTTCATAAGGAGATCAGACATGTTTATCCTTGGGAAAATCAACATCGGAGGGACATAAGATCCTCCTGCACTCATTGAACATATGACTGTGACCAAAGATCTACGTTCTGCCGCAGTTAGAGAACATATTTGGCGTTTACCTTTACTGGCAATAACTTGTAGTATTTTTGTCTGAACTACACTCAGGCCCGTTTCATCCACATTCCAAATACGGTCACCTGGGTATTTGTGTTTTGAATATTCGGACTCCAGCAAGTCATAAAAGGCATTAACTCTTTCACGAGTAAAACCTTTTGCACGAGCATTT